CCTGAAATCGTCAGGAGGGTAATGAAAAATACTTAAATCAATGAAATATGGAAATTATCCAAGAGGTTGTGAATATGTAGGTAGGGCGATGAACTTCCACCAGATATATAGCCTCACAACGGAGAAAACGGCTTCTGAGTTACTCTACTCGACAACGCCAATAAACAGGTAAAATTGCCAGAGATTTTACGTGAATGATGGCAAATATTACCCACTGGTTTTAGAAGAATTCACAATGCCACGCTCTACACGTACAACCTCGTTGGCTTTAAAACGGAAATGAAGTGAAAAATTAACGCGATCCTGCGCAAGGAAAGAAGCACGCGTACAAGTGGCGCCATCTCACCTATATCCTGCCTAATGTAGCAAGCGGTAATTTTGAAATTTGAATATGGATAAACTAAACTGTTACACCCCCCCTCTCCTTCGACAGGAGGGAAACTACAAGTTTTCCGACGATCGAAAAACCCAGCACACACACTCGAAAAGGAAGCAAACAAATTGAAAACCCGAAAACCCCCCCCAGTGTAAAAAAAACTCCCCCCCAAAGAATTTCACCTTCAAAGAATTTTCCCAGGTTCTCCAGCAGCGGAAAAGGTATGCAAAATCGGGTATTGACATGCCCTCGCGTAAAGATGGAATCTCGCGCCGTCGGGTATCATGACAATAGCAACCCCTTTCCCACAACCCCAATCCAACTACTAGTCACCCCCAAAAAAACCAAATCCAGTGCCCACCCAGAAGAAAGAAACCCTACAGTTTCAAGTGATGCAGCACCAAAATCCCCAAAATAAAGAAACCCCCCTCCCTGACTAAAAAACGACACAAAAGCCCAAATTTTGACCCCCTTGCCGAAAAAGTGTAGAAGGAAACCCCCAAAAAGAAGGTACCTTTCCAACCCAACTCCACCATGCACTAGCGTAATGAAATGAAGAAGGTGCTATGGATAGAAGACAGTAAGAGAGAAAGAAGAAATCACATTTGCGGAGAAAAAAAAACTCATTCATGCCGATTCCAGGGGTCCCATGGTCACCGAGGCTCGCACAGGGAAGGCGCACCCACCCCCTTCCTCTTGTGTGTCAACTACCCATCCATTCAAACATTCATTCATTCTATGGAACGGAAATGGAAGAAAGAAGAGTAGAAAGAGATAGAATATAGGAAAGCGAAAAGAAAAGGGCAACCTCTCCCAAATTTCCCCTGAGGAAATTAGAAGAAGAAAAGTGTTTGAGGTGCAGATAGAAAAAGAAAGAAGGAGGATAATGGATCGGGACGAATCCCCTAGCAGGTGTTGTTGCTACGATCCGAGAGTCCATCCCCTGTGCCCAACCAAACCACCCAAAGAGTAAGAAAAAGAAGAAATATGGAACATATAACATATAAATACATATATCAAAGTCAAATCCAAGAATAAGAATACGTCAAAATTAGTGGTTCAAAATCGTCAACAAACAAGCAATCCGGCGACAATAAATGTCTAACCATGATCATCGGGTTCAATATAAGGTTTGAGATCCTGGACGTGCCACGTTCCAGAAGATTTACCATTAGAATCTTTCAACTCATAGGTCAAATACCCCATTTTACGGCTAACCGTAAATGGTCCTAAAAATCTGGGGGCTAACTTCGCTGAATAATCTTTAGTGGCATCAGACAAAGACTTATTTTTACGCCAAACCAAATCTCCTATCTCATAGTTAACATGCCTACGTCGTAAGTCATAATGTTGCTTGTTGCGGTCATGACTGTCTTTAATGCGTGCAATAATTTTGTCGTACAGTCCTTGCTGTTGCGCTAACCGTTGTTCTACGTCAATCGGCTCATTGTCCGTCATGTCAGTGTCGAAGCTGTCCCCTCGAATACGAAATTCTTTCCCAAAATTAGCACGATAGGGAGTCACACCTATGGTTTCGTGCTTAGAAGTTCGAAGAGCACAAGCTATCGAAGCTAAATGAACGTCCCAATGTTTGTGATTGTTCTTAACGTAAGAGGCTATCAATTGCTTTACCACACGATTCACCCTCTCCGCAGGATCAGCCTGTGGATGATAAAAAGGAGTAAACCGAACCTTTACACGGTAGCTTTCACACAGATCTAAGAAAAGTCTACTGCGCATCTGCGCGCCATTGTCACAAATAAGGAATTGTGGAGCTCCATACACAAGAAATACAGAATCTTCAATACATTTGACAAGAGTTTTGGCATTCGCCGTCCTTATGGGAAAAAGAAGTACAAATTTACTCATATAGTCACTAACAACTAATAAATGAGTTCGCCCTTGAGTGGATCGAGGTAAAGGACCAATAAAATCTAAGCTGATCATCTGCCACGGTTCATAAATTTGAGGATGTGAACCCATAAGCCCTGCAGGTCGAAGTTGTTCAGGTTTATGTTGTGCACAGGTGGTACAGCGAGAAATATAACGCTTAATATCGCACTTCATTCTCGGCCAATAATATCGGTGATGAATGCGCCAAAAGGTCTTATAAACACCAAGGTGTCCTGAAGTAACATTATTGTGGTTCTCTTGTATAAGAGATTGTCTAAAATCAGAAGGAACAACAAGTTTCCATTTTTCATAATCATGAGATTGTAAAGCGGACTTGATATATTTATACAACAACGAATCTTTCACTCGCCAATCGGGATATTTATGAGGACTTCGCTCTAATCTTTCAAACATACCAAGGTACCAAGGGTCTTTAGAAGTTTTGAAATCGTTCGGATCCACCGTAACATCTGAAGAATGTACAGCTTCGATCACAGGTACAGTACGTGACAAAAGATCGGGAACAATATTGTCCTTGCCTTTACGATGGACAAGAGTAAAGGTATACGGCTGTAAACGAAGAGCCCAGCGTGCTAAACGTCCTTGGGGGTCTTTCAAAGAATGCAACCACAAAAGAGAATGGTGGTCAGTAATGACTGTAAAAGAAACTCCTTCGAGGTAATGTCGAAGTTGCTCTACCGCTAACTGCTAAGCACTCACGTTCAGTCGTGCTGTAATTTTGTTCCGCTCGGGATAATGATCGGGATAAATAACATACCACTCGCTCCCCATCCGGAAAAGTTTGAGTCAAGACAGCTCCTAGCCCATAAGCAGAAGCATCGGTCTGAAGGACAAAAGGTTTGGTA